TAAGTCCGTCCTCTTAAACCGAGACTGATCCAAGGGTCACTCGTTTCGACGTGCCCTTGATCGTCTTAATACGTCTGGTGCTCGTTCTTCGAGTCACCACGACCTTTGACCTGGAAGAAGGTGTCTTTGCTATCTCAGCTAACGCACTCCTTCCAACCGCACCAGGCTCTTGGCTCTGTGCCGGTTCTTGTGGCGCTTGACTTCCTGTCAGTCCACCATCAACTGCCACAGGCCCTCGGCTCTGTGCAGGACTATTGGACGCATGAATACTTGTCATCGCCCCATTCACTACACCAGTCTTTTCGAACTGGGTAGGAATATGTGTCACCTGGCTTTCCGCCAGTGCACTTCCAACTACACCACTCCTTTCGAGCTGGGTAGTTCCTGGTGTCGATTGACATACCGTCATCGCACCCTCGACTATGTTGGACACAGAATCATCCACATAAGCTTCTCGCAAAAGCACATCCTTTCCGGTGTCCTGCGTAGAGTTAGCGACTATGCGTGTACGCCAGTCAATCCATGGTTGGTTCTTCGCCAACCAAGGCATGCCTAGGATGAGGTCATACGGACTCTCCATACCTAGCACTGTGAACTTCTCTGTACAAGAGAAATCACTAAAACTGAAGGCGAGTTCAACCTGAACTCCCTCCGATTTTACGAGCGCGTCGTTCGCTAAACAAACGATCGCCTCTTCTCGCTTGCCATCCTGGCAAAGCGACTCATAACTCGCCGGTCTCCTTTTCAGAGCCGCGAGTTTCACAAAGTTTTGTGATGCACCCGTATCTACGAGAATGATCATCACTTCGTCATAGCCTTGTACTCGAGCGCTATAGACCAAAAGGGTTGAGGTCCGACCTTTCGGAACCTCAGGGACTATGCTACCCATTTGTTCGATCACTCTGAACTTAGGGGTAGCTTCATAGTCCGCGACAGTAGGGCATCCCGCCCCTACTGCGCTCCCGCATTTCCCGATCCATCTTGGGCAGGTGCTGAACCCGTGCGTCGCGCACACTGGTTCTTAGCACCTCCCTTCGGGTTGGGAGACCTTTTGCAGGCTGCCTTAGCACCAGCAGCTACTTTGGCATAGCAGCGAGACATCACATGGTCACGCTTGCCGCACTTGTAGCAGACCACGTCTGCATTGCCTAGCTCCATTGGAGTGGCATCCGACTTCGCAGCCGACGGCTTATAATAAGCTTTTGCCGAGGCGCTGTTGTAGGATTGCTCCTCAACTAAGGCAATGTCAATTGCCTCTTCCATCGTCGCTGGCACCTTTCTGAAAAGGTTCTGACGCGATGGGCCGTGCCGTAGTTTATTCATGAACGTGGCCACCTTGATATGTTCCGTTATCGGTTCCCCATTAATGGACGCCGACAGCGAACGCATCTCCTGCGCATACCCTTGCAGAGATCGTTTCGCCTGTCGTGCTCCAAAGAAGCGCTCCATAAGCAACACTTCGTTGTTAGGCGGCTGATACATGGCGCGAATCTTTGACTTAAAGATCGCCCATGATGGAAATGCATCAGCATTAGCCATCAGCGCAGAGTAAGCCCACTCTGACGCTTTGCCACGCAAGTTGGACATGGCATACGACACCATCTTAGTGTCGTCTTCGATGAGCTGCGCCACTCCACATTGCTCAACTGCTTATAGCCAGTGAACAATCGTGTGAGGGCTAGTTCCATCGAGCTTCGGAGGGTCCATCCGAATGGGCCTCGGTTGATTAGGCCGGGCAGAGAGCGTCTCAACAGTTCTGTTGACCGCCTCATTACGTGCCTGCTCAAGCAAAAGCTCATCCTGAGTCTTAGTGATGGACTCAGCGGTGGCTTGGCTGTTTATCTCGGACGCGTTTCTACGCTGTCTGAGCACAAACGCCTCAAATTGCTCCAACTGAGCAACATGTTGCTCAGGAGGACAATGCAAGAGATTGACCAGGGCTTGTTCACCAAGTCCCTGCGCCATATGCTCTACCAACTCCCTATGATGTTGGGAGAGGTGAGGGAAGTCACTCCAGTCCATATTAAGGACCATGTCAGCCACACGCACGCTCAGAGAGACGGGTCGTGGGAAGGACTACTAGTGCTACTAGCACACACCTTCAGCACAAGCGAGGAAGCGGTTAGACCGTCTTACCTTCGCGTGCGAGGGTGGTTAGGAGGTTGGTCGACTGCTTAAGCAGTCGTACCACCAGTTGCCTCTCGCTTAAGCGAGAGTGCAACCAACTTCTAAGACAAGAAGTCACCGACGTCACGTAGAAGCTTTTCGGCTTCTTGTGCGTGGTGTGTATGTTTAAGTAAATTCAAGACTGAGATATATTTAATTAATTATAACTAAATATGTACTTGACTACTGGTTGGCTATATATGTATATAGATCGGATAAGCGAGTGTTTAGAAGCGAATCCTGACGTGCGAGCTTAAATATAGATTTAAGTTTGCGAATGACGTCCTTCTGAGACGTCGCGATGCCTAGCTTCAACTAGCGTCATCCCTTCCCATGTGAATCCATCAATGGATATCACATTCACGAGGGTGGATCACATTTGTGTATCGCACCCAAGTGACAGGTCAAAAGTAATCATGGATACTTTTAGACCAAACATTAAGTATATTACTTAATGTTTACGTGTAACTAGATGCCCTGTTACACCATTACAGGTAATAATCATATAGAAAAAGTTACCAATTTCATCCATATTGTATATATCACACAGAGCGTACTCGGAAATGACCTTCTTCAGATCAGGCAGAGCTTCATTATGAGCCTCTACGTCCACCGAACCGATATCACCGTGAATGCGAATAGCGCGGACCTTGTGACGTTGTTGGAATTTTCGAAGCCATCCTTGCGACAAAGTGATGGCATCGTTAAGAATATTAAGCGATTGATCAAGTCGCTGGGTCTTCGCGCAAATGAGTTCCCCAGTAATAATTACCTTGCGGTGTTGACACTGCAGGATCCAAAGAGCCAAAGATTCTTCGATTAAGGATGTTGCACTAGCCGCTGTCGCTTTGCATTTAGACCTTCTGGATCCATCGTCTCCAAGTTAGACCGCTTTTGGATTATCTTGCTAATCGATGCCTGTGACAGCGTTTTGGCAAGGCCAAACTTCTTGGTTTCCCATTTAGCCAGTGGGGTCTGAGATAATCCAGGACTTTCATCCTTGTACTTGCAAATCTGAAGACGCTGTTGATTGGTAAGCCGCATGTGCGGCATCTTTAACTGTCTAGGTACATAAATAGATAAGACACTGTTTAACACTGTGGTTTACATATAGCTTTCACTATAAGCACAGAGAAAACAAGTTGACGATATGTCTTACACCTCTAGGCACGGGTCAAATTTATAAAGGAGTCTGGGACTAAAGTTCTGTCAGCAGTTTAAATTTCAGGGTAGAGCCTGTTTTGTTTTAGGGGATGGTCTGGTTGCTTGGGTCCGCTTTTTTATTATCTAAGTTCTCTTATGTACAATACACATAATCTAATAAGTTATAACCTCTGTTAAGTTATGGCTATGTCGTCCACCGTACCCATAACTAAACGGAGGGAGCTCTGTAGTTCGGTACCTCAACTCTAATCTACGACTATGACTATCGGTATGATAGGATCGGCTACCACTCGTTTTAATATCGCCCCCTTATGCTAAGTCTTCCGCAGGATTGCTGGATCGTGATATACTAAATCGCGGTCTACCGGGTCGCGGTCTGCTATATCGCGGATTATGGCACGCATCAATGGGTCTATGAATCGCTGTTACTGAGTAGCAAACCGCAAATATGCTCTCCTCTCATCCTTTTGTGGTAAATCGATCTGAAGGTCTGAAAGGGATCGATCAAGTGAACACTGTTGATAAGATCTTGCTCTCTGATTGGCCAATAAGCCGTGCGAGACGGTTGGACGAAGGGTCAACAGGATCAAGAACACAGAAGAATTTCAATATTGGTGGGCCACACACCATGGTCACGATATGAAAAGACCGGATCGACGGATCCACAAATCCGAATTCGACAAATCCGGATCGAGTATCGATTGATTGGTAACTTTGATCCGAAATGTGGATCGCGATACGTAACCTGTTACGGATCGATCCGTACCCTCGATTCGAAATCCAATATCTGAGGTGGACAACATTACAAGATCTGATTTATTTCCAAGGAGGCGACGCGTGACAGAAGATCCTGAGTTACAGATAGGCAAGATCATAGGTTTGGTATTTGATTGGTTAACACTAAACAGAGTTCAATTTGCTTCTAAATACATGTGTCGACTTCTTTAATCCGGGCAGGATATTTGGCCTCCCGACGCCGAGAATATCGACTACAAGTGCACCCTGGATTGTTTTGGCCAGGTGAAGGAATTCTCGACACAACAACTCAACTGCGATTGGCCGCAGAAATAACAAGTAAGGGTAAGGCAAGCAAGTGCAGGACGGATCAAGTAGTCAGAAGGTTCTGCTCAAGTGGTCAGAAGATCCAAGCTTCGCCTTATTGGACTATTGGGATCTATTGGTACGATCAACAAACAAGTACTCGGTCGATCGTGTGAAGATTTCCACAAGATCACCAAAAACCCCAATCCCTAACCAGATTAGGATCAACATCGACTCAAGTCCACCTAGAAGAGAGCAACCCGCCCTATCGACGTGTACACAAGGTGAAGAAGGCTTTATACGGATTCGGGGTACCCCCCCCCGTTAATCGGTCGTCCGGGCGAGTTGGAGTCGCATCAGCAATTTTGCAACACTCGTCAATATTCACTTTGAAGAATGGCTAAAGTCCCAACCCAATATTTAGAGCGACATTTTTTTTAATATGGGCCTTCCCCATTATAAATGACCTTACACATTGTAAAAGAAGAATCTATAATATAAAAATGACTGAGATAAAGCGCTCATATTATGCCCATTACATGCTCACTTAATATCATGACTTTTCAACAGCCCATATTAGGACGTACTTAAACGGATCATTCACCAATAAACCCCGCAAAACTAGCAACATGAATTTCGGTGGTATGATGGGCGGTGGCGCCGCTCCGAACGTGTCCTCACAGCCTTCACAGCAGTCTCAACTAATGATGGCAAAGGTGGAAATGGCCTCTTACGCTGATCTGTTTGAGCGTCTGTCACGCGTGTGTTTCCAGAAATGCAAGTTCAAGTACAACGACGGCCAACTGAACGTGGGCGAAATGAGTTGCATCGATCGCTGCGCTGGCAAGTACATGCAGGCTTATAGTTCACTGGGTGTCAAGATGGCGCAAGTGGAGAAGGAGATTATGGATCAGGCTGGCGCTAGCGTGCAGCAATAGATGGACACAGCCCCTCTACTACCGAGAGATCTCATCATTGGTGTTTGGAAGCTTTCCGTGTCGACTATGGCGTGCTAAGCTTGCTTACTACTTCATGGACGAACGACACATTGAAGGTTGTGACTCTGTAGCCTTTGTAATTGCTCAACTAACGTGACAACCTACATTTTTGAACTCATCGCTCGCTCACTCGCTCTAATGATCGATACGATATCAATTCCATTCGTAAAAAATTGTGTTTGTGTCTGCTACAGCCACCTCGACAGGCTCCTTTTAACGTCAAGTAGAGAACTGCAACAGTGCTTTTGTGTAGGCTTAGCTAGTTGCAATTACCCTTACACTTTCATGACTAATGCACGTGATATACCACCAGCAACAGCTTGAAGAGTTCACGCTGGGCACTGCGCAGCCAGCTGTGCAGTTTTATTAGATGACTTGCAGAGTTCCAGCTTGGACCGGCTTGGCGTATCAGTTGTAGTTTTGTATAGGTTGTAAAGGCAGGAACACTTACACGCCAAGGTGTCAATAGTTGATCTGAAGCTTTGTTCAAACGGTCAACACTGACAAACGGATGGATTGATGAGCTCAGTACTTCAAGTTTCTATGATTGCAACGATTCGGGCTCAAAACACCGCTACTAGGTCCTGGTCACCAAGCTAATGCCCTAAAAGACGTGTGCAACTCACGAAGCGATTGCGTTGGCAAGCGCTTTCGCGCAGCAACCGATAACGTGCGGCATTATTACGTGAAGATGTCAACGGACAGCCACTACGGCCATCTATTTGTTTGATGATCGCAGCTACATCATGCTTCAGGACAGCAGATTTTGTGTAGCGAAGGCAGAGACGTCGTAGAGTATGATTACGTGCAAAACGAGCTAAGCGACGGAGAGATGAGCAATAGCGATTGGGACAGCGATCAAGAAAACGGGTCGTAGCAGAGTTCCTGCTTGACATTGTTCGTTCAAGACATTAAGACTCAATCACTGTTGAAGTTTGCTAGAGGATTCGTCAGAAGCGTGCTTGTTGCAACCTTGTATTGTTTTCAGGTACCGATGTTCGTTGACTCTTAGCACTTTTGTTTTCCTGGGTGGTGAAAAAGTCTGCGGGGCATGAACTTTCAAAACTCAAGCGCTTAGTCGTGACTGGGTGTGCAAATGAGAGCTTCGCAGCATGTAAACATAGACGCGAGGCACGGTGATAAACCAGCTCTGAAGAGTACAATGAGTCACCTAGGATAGGATGCCCGATATGCTGCATGTGCAGTCGAAGCTGGTGGGTCTTGCCTGTCACCGGTTTAAGGTTTATTATTGTAGATTTTCGATCTTCTCCAGTTTGAGTACCATCATCCATTGCCCGCGATCGCACACAGTATTCGGTGAGGGACCAGAGCGAGCTAGATGGATCAACTTCGCGATCCAAAACTACGCGTTGGACAAGCGGTTGGATCGGGTGTTTTTCCATAGGAACTCTCACGGACCTCGGCGACTCAGATTCCTCCTCTATCCACCCATGCACACGTGCCACATACGTCTTCTCGACCAATCGGTCCCGAAATTGCGCGTTCAAACTCTGAGCTGCAGACTTGGTCAGCGCGACGACAAGCAGACCCGACGTCTCCTGGTCGAGGCGATGCACCATCCGCGCTTCCGGATACACGTTCGCAATACAGCGATGGACAGACATTGAAGCATCTGGATCGGTGCCGTCTATGCTTAAAACATTGGCGGGCTTATCTACTACAATAATAGCATCGTCTCGAAACAAAATCGTCAGCGGCAGTTCAGCAGTTAGAGTGGGGTAGATTGCATCATTACTTCTGCACGTAGCAAATTCACGAATTTGCACCAAAACGCGATCAGGTAAAGCGCCCAATGCAACATCTTCCTTCTCAGGTAGCCACACGCGGACTATGTGGTGGTATGGCCGTCGACCTAACTCCAAGTTAAGGGCATCGACACACAGTGCCGCCAACTTTAGTGGACTGTCAATAATCGAATTCTCGGAATCTTTCGACGCGCATTTCGTAGCGACCTTTGCCTTCCTGCAGCTATAAAACAATCGAAGAGCCAAGTTCGAGCTGTGAATGCTTCCTGGGGGCTGCAGTTTCGGCACTCGCTTGAGTTTGTCCAGTCCGAGACTGCGAATTCGATTGGAATTGGCAATCTCCGAGTTTCCAGTCGATCCGAACGCATCCATTGGCATTTGCAGCGTCTCTATAGCTGCCGCAATCAGTTGACGTATTTCCAAAGTCGCTTTAGCCGGCATGACGTTTGTGGCCAGGAAGTCGTTCTTCCTCTTGATTCCCATCGTGTCTTCACTGCTCGTATAAATCCAAGTGAGCTTATCCTGACCAATCGTAGAGAATTTCTTCCATGAACAGGTACAAACGTATGCAGAACGGATCAAATATAACATTGGAAGAGTTTGTTTTTGCTTTTGTGGACAAGTATGATGACTACGACTCGTAGCTTGCTACTCTCAGATATCTATTGAACTACTAAAGCCACAAAAGAACATCATGTAATGTCCGAGCTGGACGATGAAAGGCTCGTGATCGAGTGAATGATGCCGCTCTTCCTAACGAGCTCGTACGACTCCGACATTTTAAAAGCGAATTGAATGCAGGAAAAGGTAAAGTAGCATGGTCTCCTTTTTCATCTTGGCAAAAAAAGCCCCTGCACTTGAGGTAGGTCTGAACCAACTCGCCAGCACGGTGGAATGTCCAACTCAATCCCTTTGGCGACGACCGAGTTAAAAATGGCTTGTTCCAAATCGGCTCCACGATGTCGAAAGAACGGCACAACATCGCGAGTCGACACCGTTTTATGATAACCAGCCTGACATCGAGTGTCCTTACAACTTCTTTGGGGTGACCGATCAAGCACATTTGAAAAGTTGCCCGCCAGTCTGCTCAGACATAGCCAACTCAGTTGGACATGTCATGTCGATAGGAAGCATTTTATCCTCACTAGTTTGTTGGCGACAACTCCTTCTAAGCTCGCTTGTACAGTGCGTTTTTCCGCAGGTTCTATAGACCTTTCCAGCGAAACGTCATATATGTTCCATCGCGTATAGTTTGTCGTTCAACGTCAGACTTCACTTACTCCGCGCTAGTTAAGACCAACAAATTAATAGGATACTCTGCCGGGGTATGCAATTATCCTTAAACACCATAGTTAACACAACCCGTAGGCTTGCATACGGTCTGCTGATGCACATTGTACACCCCGTTTCACAACTTCGTCACTCCTTATCCGACTCTAAGTGACTTCTGCATCACTTCTGGTCCACATCGATTTTTTCTGTTGCCCTGTTTGACTTGACACTTGCAATGGCACCTTCAATGAGGTCCACGTACTCCTTGGAGAGCGAGGACTTCCGTGCAAGCGTCATGGCGCGCTGCAACGTATCGCTAGCTTCGTTCCAGCGCTTGTTGGTCATTAGCAGTTGCGAGTAGTTATACAGCACGGCGGCAATTTCTCGGTCAAGTGCTGCGAGGTCCGCAACCTCGCTTCTTGGCGCCTTCGAAAGCTCTCGCCGTCCTCGATTTTGGTCGTAGGCGCTGATAGACTGCTTGTAATACCTCTCCGCAGTCATCGTGTGCCCCCTAAGACCAATACACGACACAACCGTTAGCTTCTCGCCACACAAATATAATCGAGCTTGTGCAGCCACCTGTTCTCGTAGGATTGTGCGATACGGTCGAGTGTGACCACGCAGTTTCGCTCCCTCTTGGCGGCTTTTGTCTCGCGCAAATTGTGCTCCAACGCGTCAAGGTAATACTGTGTTGCACGCGTTCCTCTTCCCAAAGTCTCGTAATGTGCAGCAATAGCAAACGCCAACTCGAACAAATGGCGATCTGCAGAAAGAGCAAAGACTGAGTATATCACAATGGTAGTTACCATCGAATTCACTACGCACCATGCGGATTAATGCTCTTGACGACGTCATACGCGTGCAGACAATGCTTAAGTGCCTGTTCTCGATCTCCCTGCAGTTTGACGTCAGTAAAAACCATTAAAACCTTAGGCACCAATTAGCCGCGGACAGCAACTACTTGTCACCTCTTCCACACTTTGTTCTGCTTGCTTCACCAAGTGTTCAACCTGCTTTACCGGTGCATTTTCACGGTGCTAAAATTCCATATTGGATCAATAATTTTAGTTTAGACAGTTAGTTTTACGCGCTGTTAAGTATTATCAGTGTTTCTGTATGTATTGCTACTGTACCTGATAGAAATGGACACCGGTAGCTCCAGCTGTCACCATAAATGCCAACAACACAACCTCTTTCTTCAACCAACGCTTAAAATCCACCTTTAAAACATCATTGCTGCTCTTCGTCGCATTTGCAAGTGTTCGAAATACCAAAAAGTTACTTGATATCCCTGCAGTGGACTTGACACCAATGCGACGCAATAACGGACGTGAGAATCGTGCAGCCATTATGTAACGATTTAACCAATAGATAACTTCTTATGCTTATGAACGTTAACAAGAAGCTAAACCAGTTTGTCGTACTGGTAGTTTTGGCCAAGGACTGAGAAACACTATACTCGAATAATCTGGGTAAGCCTAGATACTTCGTTGAGAAACCACGTTTTGAAGTATCACAACCTAATAATTTCGCCTTGTGATGTATTCAAGGTGAATGCGAACCAGATAAACAGTATCCTAATGTGGATCTAGGAAAGGTCACTGCAACTACGGGGTTATTTAGTGCACCAACTATCCGCAGTGACGATGCAGCGCAAATGCGATACTCTGTCAGAAGAATGTAGATAATGTGGAAACCTTTTACATGGTAAAAAGCGTGCTTCGAATGGCGTATTCAACGCCAGGTTCGTAGAATAACGTGACCCAAAGTTACAAAGAAGGCTCTTTAAGAAAGATCAGCTTGCGTGGCCGATCCCCGATGCAAGAAAGCCACACAGAGTGTGCGGGTATAGTCCAGTAAAAAAAAGTATCGCCGACTATTGCAGCGCGCTCACACTTTTTGAGGCCCCCCCGGCAATACTATAGCAGCGGCAAAGTTGCACCCAAGCCATGCAGATGATGGAAATCGCAAGCCTCTGGTCTTATCAAAACAACATAAACTTACTCCATTATTCATTCAGCACACTGATCTTTACTCCATGATGTGAGCTGCACTAACTGGATCGCAAATCCATTGGTGGCGGCGCCACGGCAGGGCCTAAGTCTCCGCAAATAGTGTTAACACAAGCCCAATTGCCCTCGAAGTCGCTTTTCCACATCCGAATAGTACCGTCATCACCCGAGGACGCTAGCATTGTGCCAGTAATGTTCCATTCAACACGCCAGACTTCCGAGTCATGGTGATGTTTACGCGCTACCTCCTCAACATCAGCTTGTAGGTGGTTGTCCTCCTGAATCGTAAGTCGCCAAATACGCACCGTACGATCCTTACTAGCCGTTGCCAAGAGATGCGACGAGCGACCCATGTTTGGCGCCCAACACACATCATGGATTGTATCCGTGTGACCCACGAGCTCCACAACAACTTGCCACCTACGGTACGAATTGTTGTACCCCCAAACCTTAGCCACCTCGCTGTTGCCACCCGCCACAATCATCGGCACGTCAAACCGTGACTTATTCCACGAGACACACGTCGCACCATCCTTATCTGCTAAGAACTCTTCCTGCAGCGGCCAGTGCGACAGGTTCATCACGTCAATGGCTTCGTACATACGCACAAAACCGTCTTCGGACGCCGTCGCCTGTCACAACAATAACAACACCAAATAGACACGAAAAAGATGTCGTCAATCAACGAATTCATATCCAAATCATTTCTCCGTTGTGATGGACGTACAAGACGCAAGCCCAAGTGTCGAGGGGCAAACTTAACATCGTGCACCGAGTCTCTAGCATCCACGAGCTGTGCTTGATTACGCCATCCTTCCTTTGTTCCGGCATTACCACTAGCTGTCGGTCCTCCATTAGCGTTTACTACGTCCCCACTTAAGGTAGACGAGACATTCCCACCATTCAAATACATTCCCTGGTCTTCCCAGATGGAAACCGTGCGATCAAAGGAACACGAGGCTAAAATCTGGCCAAATTCTGGATGTGCCCACTCGACTTTCCATACACTGGCTTGATGTGCGTTCCATTCGTACTCAAGACGCCATTCTTGTCCAAATTCTTCCCAGATTTTTATCTTACGGTCAGAACTGCATGTAGCCAATCGTTTTCCGTAAAAATCAAAGCTCATATCATGAATAAAGTCCGAATGCTGCGATGGAAATCGTCGGAAGATTTTCTACATATATTACATAACCAGTCAAAGGAAGGGGGTGAGTAGAGAAAGTCATACAAAATAGGAAGAGAAGAACAATAAAACACCATCGCGTTCATCTTCCAAGGTCGAAGATAGAGAGAGCAGTGCTGTATTGTGCGGATCAATAGAGCACTCTATTGATGTGTACACTAATTAGGCACTATGTATTAAGTTTTGGGGGTAGCTTTAATTATACCCCCCAACAAATCGGTATTTGTAACTCTATGACTGTAAGTACCAGACAAGTGCAAAATATTGTTGATCAAGTGCACGATTAAGTGCGAAAAAAACGTTTGACGTTCCAGCAAGCGAACGTGGACAGCGTTCATGGGTTATTGGAAACCAGCAGAGGCAAGTTCGAGCCGTAGCGTAGCGAAAAAGTGCCGGTGAGCTGACACGATACTACGAAAAACCCGTCTAATTCATGTCAACGGGCCACAGCCTAACAACCCCCAAAAGTTGACAAACCAATCCACGTGATCTTCCGACTATTATGAATGCGGTGCCAACAAGCGACGACGATGACCGGACAAAGCGGAACTAATGTTGATTCATCTTTCGTAAAACCCGTGTGAGACTTAATGCGATTGACCTGTTATCACGTTGGGCGCTCGAGCGGAAATTGGTCCAGTAAAGCTGACAGCTTGTGACGTTGTCTTGTCAGCCATGAGAGATACAACAATATTGAGTGTTCGGTCGAAGTTGTTGCAAGTTTCAAGTTTCTCTTGCAGAAATCATGATGCAGAGACTACAGGCCTCAGGTGATACACCAATGATCGGGACAGGTATCCCCAGTCCGATAAGCACGACATGGTCTTATATGTCGTGGCCATTGTCTAGGGTACAGCGTGTTGTTTCATCGATTGCGTATTTTAAGCAGTATTCGCGATACCGCTAGATTGTTTTCAGCTTTGTAGTTTTCATTGCTCACTTATGCGCAGCATCCATGACATTATCGAGCATTGTTCGAAAGCATATCATGCAGTAAATTTGAGTACAACATTCAGACTGAAGTAAGGCAATACCGCCGGGTCCTTTATGTAGCAAGTCGGACACAATTTGTACTGCAATTTTGAGCAGGCGAGCGGCCACTGCACCATTGATGTCGTTTCCTCCAAAATGGGCTCAGTACAAGCTTCTTCATGCTAGTATGTAAGCTTTGGAGTATTTCGTCTTGTGCTATAAATAGCTGCATTAATTAATGAACACGACTACTACTTTTTTCTTGTCTTGGATGCCGATCTTCCTTTGCTTTCAGCTTGTTGACAGTCCTGTACGTCAGCAACTTCAAAGCCTTGTACGCCAGCATCCTTAGAGCCCCAACCAGCACAAACACAATGGCAGATAGTACAACGACCCACTTGGTTCGCGTAAGAACACTCACGACGATCTCCAACGTCTTCCACCGGTCCGGGAAAAGTTTCAATAGCTGCAGGATAGACACATTTTCAGCAACGTCACAGACTGCTGCAATCCCGGGCAACGTCCACACCAAGCAACGTTCAGGCCAGAGACGACGTAGAATTCCCATTAATGCCGTAGAATAAATCAAAGGGAAAAGCAACAAGTCAAACGCATAGAAATCCTTGTAGAGAGCTCGTCCTGAAACGCCAAGACACTCTAAATGCGGAGAAATAGCATCAGGTAACAACCAAAAGACACGATCTAATGCACCACTACATTCAGGTGGTAATTCTCGATCCCATTGTTTTTCTAATAGTAATAAAAGAAGAAGAGAAGGCACCATTGCGCCTAATGCTGCTGCAAACAAGTGCGACTCGAACGTCATTGAGCACGTTATCATGTTTTACGGAGATAAACCTACATATCCTGTAAGATATAATATCTACAATTATAGTATATTTCACAGTTTTATCGACTTTCTCAGCTTTCTTTCTAGTCAGCATTCACTTCATAATCACTTTGTCGTCACTTCGTAACTAAGCGAATCCTGGCTACGTGTGTGTATTTCCTGTGTGCAGCTTTGCGGCGCTGCGTCATGACTCATCCGTCCCCGACGTCTACTGGACCTTCACGTAAACGGAATCAACAGCAGCAACAGAAACAAGACGAAACCATTCAACAGCATACGACGCCGTTGCTTGATGTCGTGCCCGTTAAACGTCGACGCTCTTCAGCCGCATCAACTGATGAACCCGAGGTTACACTTGGCGAGCACATTACAGTTGAAGAGCAACACAAGCTACTTGACGGTGCACCTCAGACGGAGTTATTTCTAGTGACAATCAAGACACGAGATGAGTTGATAAAGAGCACAGATGTTATGAGAGAGGCTGAAATACTGGACAAACTGCTCCTGCAACTGAAGGAGAAACAACAAGAGACACGAGACGATGGAGACGTGGCGTGGGGACATGAGTTTGCGGCTTTGGACTCGCTCCGACGGTTCATAAAACACCATCAGGACCAGGCGAGACGACAGCTGTAAGATGAACGAAACTTTGTACACTTTACAAGAGCTCATGGCAGTTTTGACTCTTGTTTTTTTGCTATTGTTTTGTAGGGAGAATAATGTTTTATACAAGTTGGTGCTGCCCGCAGCATTGAGTTTGCGCTCGGCTATGGCTCGAAATGCGCTGCTTTGTATGCAGGAACTTATACTTGGACTCAAGACAGAGACAATTACGCACTTTGATGCCATTCTACCTGTGCTCTTGAATCGTGCGTGCTCGGAAAAGCAGTTTTTGAAGGACTTGGCGAGGGATGTGCTGGAGACGGCGCTACAAGCAGGTGGCGATGAGGAATTCCTGAACACGTTGCTGACAACAAGCATGGCGGAGAAGAACGCGCAGATTGTTAGCGTGGTTCGTAATGGCTGACAGGATTTCTTTTGTTTTTGGTTGCTGAAGTCTTGTCTGACGTGACTTATTGGCGGATAGGCTGGGTTGTATGTGACAAAGTGTATCATTCGGATGGACCGCGAACTCTTGCGCGCGTTTGTGCTCGAGAAACGAAGCTCGTTTTTTGACGAAATGGCAGTTCTTCTCAATTGCAAGGTTGTCGAATGCAAGACGGCTACCCGTCGAAGCTGTCAGCACACACGCCGAGTTATTGGGGTAAAAATGTCTTCTGATGACTATGCTTTTGGATTGAAGCTAACGTGCTGCTGTCAAATTATTATTACAGAATGAGGAGTTTGTAGCACTGGTTAAGGAAAAACTGAGCGGTACAGCGCTATCTGACATCTTGACAGCTTCGGAGATGCGGAAGGGAGCAAAACCTGGACACGCAAAGCCGAGCATTCGCGAACGCATGCTTCAGCTGAAGAAGCAGCAGCAACAACAGAAAAAAGTTCAAAGCGGAGGAAATGACATTGCAGTCATTGTTGTCGCGCCCACGCCTCCTCGATTAAGGTCATCATCAATGCAAGCGTCGCCATCGTTATGACTGCTTTATTGATGTGGACTGTTATGCATAATCTTCCTGTTTGCTGTCACTTTCCATGTCGTCTGCTGTTGTTTGGGCGTCGTTTAAGAAAACCTCACCACTGCGATTGGCGCACGCGGCGATCATTTTGGTACTCTGTATGGGACGAGCTTCACAGTTCGTGCCTGCGTTGAGGGTATGAGAGCAATATCAGAGGGTTGGGCAATGACACTCTGGTCTGCTTGCGAGCTGGACCAGTGGGGTACGCTGTATCCGTTCTATCTGCTGCCTTTCTGAGTGCCTATCATGGTGTTAACGGTTCATATGAAAGGCAGTTGGTGGTTGAGTGGTGGCAAACTGATTCGGCTGTCGTGCTATACAACAAGGCGGATCGCTTTGGCTTTGCGGTGTTGCTGGTATTGGAGCGACATTCTTCTACTTTTATTGCAGATCGTGGTGCTGGAATTAGCTGCAGATGCCAGGTTTCTGACGCCATCAAGTGGTTTACATGGGACTTGTGGAAACAAAAGCGAGGCATGGGAGCAATTGCGTATCAAACGGGGTTTCTGTCGATGTTACCATGATCGATTTGAACAATGCCATCATTTTTCTGGTCGTTCAGAAGGGCGTCTTGGCACGCATTGAATTTACAGTCTAATGAACCGGCACGCTTATGCTCGCCAGCACAAAGTGTTTAAGGTCAAGACTGGGTTTATTTGTCTTCTCTCACTTACATGTACAGATAGCAGCGCCATATTCACACAGATTTTTTGAGTTCGTCTAGGCTCAGAATTTGCATTTCATGTGTCATGATCAAACGTAAATTTTTGAAAGCACGAAGATGAGCACGTTATACATGTACGTTGGAAAGATAAAACTTAGCACACAACGCAACGCAGACATTTACTTCTCGCTCACAATGCACCCCTCGAGGCCTGCTTGCAGCTCGTTCTTGCGAAGATTAAGACCGATGAAGACCACTTGCGTGACTCGGGCATCTGTACCGTTCAGCTCATCTTTTGTCCAACATTCTTCAGAAGGATAGACTTCAAACAGCTCGTGCACAGCTTGCAATATAAATTTGTGGGGATCGCCTGCAACTGCAACCACGCCCTTCACGCGAAAAAGCTTCTGATGCTTGACCGTATCGAAGCCCAGCTCCATCTCAGCACCCACGTCTTCGTCCTGTTCCCAGAGCAATTTTCCAAGCCACCTCTCTAGTTTGTCCTGGTCCAGCGGTCCATCTCGAATTCTTACACAAGTGGTTTGCATGCCACCCGTGTGCGTAGCAGAGGCACACTGCTCATCATCAAAGTTTCCGTGACCCTGTTCGTCTTTGTTCTCACCTTCATGCAGTAATCGTTGCAGCTCCTTCTCCACCTGCTCTGCTCTATTCGTCGTAAAGCTCTTGATATTAAGAATATCATCCAGATCCACTCTCGATCTCTCTGTCCATTTCACACTTGCAATCCCATTGATCTGTTTCACTCTGTCCTCAATCTGCTGCCTCTTTTCTTGTCCATGAACCAAGTCTCCTTTATTCAACAAGATTCTATCAGCATAAGCCAATTGAGCTGCTGCTTCTCGTTGCGTATCTCGATGTTTCAAGTGAAACTCAAGTCGTGGTGCATCCACAACCGTCACAATACCATCTAATATTATTCTGCCATCTAGTTCATTGTCCACCCAAAAAATACTTGCTACTTTGCCTGGATCTGCCATCCCCGTCGTCTCGACTAGAATGTAATCAAAACGATCTCGACGCTCTAGCAGCTTCTCCAGTGTATTCACCAAATCATCACGTACAGAACAGCAGACACATCCATTGCTTAGCTCATAAAATCCGTCCATTACTTTCCCATCCGTGCCGTCTTTCGCCACGAGACTCTCAACCCCCACTTCTTCACCGAATTCGTTCTCAATCACTGCAATACGTTTGCCATGGTCCTCTAGCAAGATGAACTGAAGCAAAGTCGTCTTCCCAGCTCCTAAAAATCCAGATAAAATCGTCACGGGGATCGTCGGTAACGACGTCACAACGACAAGTTCCTCCAGCTCGGGCGGTATATCGTGTAACTCCATGAACTTTACAATTGATTTCAAGAATGATGATCATTTCGTACTTAGTAGAAAAAGGATCGTCGGAAATATAACAAAAAGCGAGATGGATTCGTTTTTTTTTTCGAAGGTAGTAAAGTGAATATGGTGTGTACCACACTCTGAAACGAAAAAAATCCAATCCAAGAGCTCACACACTTGAAAAAAGGAGATCTCTCACAGAGGGAACGACTTGAAAAATGGTCAAGAAAGTTGGTACGTTTTGTAACTTATTGTGTCTATTGTGACTCTATCTTGTATGCTGTTATTGTAGTAGAATGGAAGCTTGTGACTTAGTTACTATTGTATGTATTGTATAGGGAAGTACGAGATTGGAAAAACGTTAGGCGAAGGAACGTTTGGAAAGTAAGTTCTCTCTCTCTCTCTCTCTCTCTTTATAGTGATATATTGCACTATAGAGGTTAATGTAGCTGGAATGTTATTGTAGGGTCAAGTATGCAGTGAATACAGAGACGGACGAGCGGGTGGCTATTAAAGTTTTGGACAAGGAAAAGATTCAGAAACAAAATATGGGTGCACAGATTAAGAAAGAAATTTCGATTATGAAAATGGTGCGCCATAAGCACGTTGTAGTGCTGAAGGAAGTGCTCGCTAGTCGTACCAAGGTCTGTCCAATTGCTATGTTATAGGAGAGGAAAGATGTACTCAATGGATGTTGTAGATTTTCATTGTACTGGAGCTTATTACGGGTGGTGAGCTATTTGACAAGATTGTGAGCGAAGGAAGGCACGTATATTGATAATTAATGAGGGCAAAGTGTATGAGATTATACGGTGACTTACATGTCGTTTGTGATTATCTTGTGACTGGAACAATAGATTCAGCGAAGAGACTGCGCGTTTCTACTTTCGTCAGCTTGTGGATGGCGTGCAGTACTGCCATGAGAATGGCGTGTGTCATCGTGACTTGAAGCCGGGTCGGTGTTTGCTTATTTTCCTGAAGACTGTGACTGCATGATGGAGGACTGAACTTGCTCTTTGTAGAAAACCTACTGCTGGACGAAAATGGAGATTTAAAGATATCCGACTTTGGTCTCTCGGCTTTGTACGAAGGTGGCGGTTCGGACGGCCCAGAGAGTTCGCGTGCGTCGCTGCTGCATACGACGTGTGGAACACCAAACTATGTGGCCCCTGAAGTCCTTGCCGACAAGGGCTACGACGGACGCGCTGCTGATGTCTGGTCGATGGGTGTAATTTTGTACGTGCTGCTGGCTGGTTTTCTACCTTTTGATGAGCCGACAATGTCGGCACTGTTCCGCAAGATCCAAAAGGCCGAATATTCGTACCCGAGCTGGTTCACACCCCGCGTCAAAGCGCTGCTGAACAACATTCTTGTTCCTGATCCGGAAACACGAATTACAATCAAGGACATTCTACAGGACGAGTGGTTTGTGAACGCACATGGTGCCGACGAGCAGGCGTCTTCAGGTGCTGGCGCTGGTACGATTAGTGCGGAATTGGCGACTGCTCCTGTGCCCGATCCCGTTGACCACATGACCATTAAGCCGAGCCAGGCCGATTTGGATGCGGCCATCCTGGAGCACCAGGATGAGATTAACTCCGGCAAGAAGGACAAGTTAGACGGAGGCCTGAAGGTGATGAATGCGTTCGACCTGATCAATATGTGCGGCGGAATGGCTCTCAATCGCATGTTCCAGAGCAATGATGAAAAGCGAGTTAAGCGGGCAACGCAGTTCACGTCAACTATCCCGGCAGCGAGCATCATGACTCGCCTGACGGGCCACTTGGAGAGTCTCCACTGCGAGATTAATGTGGAGAACTCTTCAAAGGTGAAGGCCGTGCTGCAGACACCTAAGGGTGCTGTCGGTGTAGTCATTCAGATCTTCATGCTCGCGGATAGCCTTCACCTGGTGGAGGTGCGTCGCGGCAAGGGCGACATATTCGAGTATCACAAGTTCTATACTCAGTTGAACGAGCAAATGAAGGATCTGATCACGACCTCTGGTGGCGACTAGGCATTTGTTGAGGGCAATTAGCAAGTGTGCGTTGTGTTGACCCGACGACATGGTACGTCAGCATAAGAGAACCCTTCTGATTCTTTTCATCTTTCTCTCTGCATATAATGAGAATATACCGATAGCTAATGACCAGTGCACTCGATGTCAACATTCTGTCTGCATGCTTGCGGACTCGTCCTCAGCATTTCAAACAACGATGTCAGACTGCATGGGCTTATTCAGCTCTACACTTCCAATTCCGCCTCCAAGGCCTCCCCCCAGGGCCAATCCACCAATAGTAGACATGATCGACGAGCCAGCGGACGAGCTAAAAGCACCCACGGCACCTTTGGATATGAGTGACTGCATTTTCTGCTTGGCATCCTTTTTGCATCTCGTGTAGCCGATAATGTTGGCACCGTTCAAAGCTACACCAACCACAACGATGAGAGCCCACTCGACGTTAAACTTGAGCACCGCCACAATCAACAACATGATCCAAAGTGCTGGTGCGCCATAGAGTCCCGTCCAGAAGATACGTGAGTCAAGCGGATCAATCTCCGTCATGTCTTCATGGGATTCAAATACCCAATCACTTGTACCGTCCTCATTAATCTTATTCCACCAACGCAGTCCCACCAATAGTCGTCCCGTCACATTCTATACAAATAAAAAACAATTTTAATTAATAGTTAGCACATTTATAGCAAAATAATACATATTTTGAATTAATATTTAAAAAAACGTACTTTGACGGTCCAAAAATCAAAGGCCAAAAGTAAAATGCAAACCACAAAAATAAAGACGAAATTGCTGATGAAAATACTTCCAAATAGATACAAGAGCAGGGCCAGACCCTACAGCATAAAAAAAACAGTTTAACAGCTTGTCAAAATTAATTCGTCCCTTTTTTGACGGCAAAGTAAAATAAAAACGTAAAAAACCTTGAAAACTAAATGGAAAAAACCCGCCACTGGGTGTTTCGCAGTCGATATCGTCTTTTGCATGGATGTGAGTCTATACAAAACACCAGTCATTTTTCTATACTATAGACACTTTGTGGCTGCTGTTTACAACGTACAGAGCCTCTTTGTCATGAGTTTGAAAGCTAGCAGACGTATTGGCAGTCGATTCTACTGATTCTGATGAGGTACTTGGCTCGGACTCCATGCTAATAAATTCTAGCTCCTCCTGTGGCTTCTTGTCTTCAGCAGCCATCATCATTGCTCGTTTATTCGGTCGGTAATTTATGAAATGGGACAGTAAATTGGGACAGTCAAAATGACGAAGTGATTGCTACTGATTGGATAAAACTATTTCGAGCAATTACAAGGACATTCTGTCCGCCTACTATTGCCCCCTACTTTGTCTTCGACACTTGAATAATGGAGCTCTTCATGTGAATACACGAAATGACTTCAGCGATAAAAGGGGCCACCGACAACGTCACAATCTTTGGCGACACTTCATCCAAGTTATTATGTAGAGCAATCGTATTGGTAGTCACCAACTTGTCCAATTCTTTGCAGTTTTGTAGCGTCTCCATGGCCTAGTAGATAAGATTAAGACATCACACACATGCATCAGAGGGACATTGAAGCAGCAGACAAGTAAAAAAAACAATAGCAGTCAATAAATGCAGTCAAAGACTTACATGAGCAGAGTAACGAGCGTGCACAGCAAAAGCTGATACGGTCTTGGCACCATTAGCCTTCAGTACTTTGGCTGTTTTGACGAGAGTAGACCCGGTGTCCACCAAAGTATCAACAACGATACAATCCTTACCCTTGACATCACCCACCAGTTCACCCGGCTGATCCTCATTAAGCTGGTGTTTACGGATTACAAATGCCAGGGGGACAAATTCGTCAATAGTCCGCGATAGAGTGTCACGGAACATCACCGCTCGATTTACAGCGGCCGAGTGCGGCGCCACAACGATTGGATCGCCCAGATTCTGCTCCGAAAAGTACACGGCGCCAACGGGAAAGGCCTGGAGGTTGTCAACCTGCAAGGATCAAATGTTAGTAGCGACAGTGAAATTCAATCCATACTTTTGCGCGGTCTCTTAAACTGTCAGCTTTAATCGCACGTCATACCGGAACTTGCGGCTTAAAGAAACCCTCTATCTGCGCACTGTGGAGATCCACTGACACAACATGGTCCACGCCCATTGTTTCGAGCATGAGTGCAATATCCTAAGCATCATACAACGACAGTCAGCAAGATGTTATGGTTAAAGAGTCTTTCCATCGAAAGTACTTACAGCAGCAGCAATTGGCTCACGGCCCTTGTGCATCAGATCCATTCGCGCGTAACCGTAGAACGGGATCACAGCTGTGATGCTTTTGGCTGAAGCACGACGCATGGCCGAGATTGCTAGCAGTAGCTCCATCAACCTAGCAGCAATTTGACAGCAAAAGTAAGCTTCCACCTCAAACACTAACAAACTTTACCTTGTCACTGCTGACTCACCGATCTACTGTTATCGTAGAGCTGACAATGTAGACGCGCTTACCACGCACGTTCTCCTTGACGAGAACACTAGTTTCTCCATCATTAAATTTCTTGACTTCCATGTCATTGAGTTTAACACCCAAATAGCTCGCAATCTCGTCAGCAATAGGTGTGTCAGCCACTTTAAAGAGCTTCATGGACTTGGCAGCACTTGGATTCAATTTTCCCTTATAGAAATGCCAGTGTTTAGTGGTTGTATTGGGATACCATTCACTTTTGTTAGATACTTGACACTCCTTTTTGTCTGCGTCCGAAAAAGCTGTCGCTAATTCCAATTGAGACGTGATGTTGCCACCCAATACACCCAGAACACCTGCTGTAGCCAATGCCAATACATTCCGTGATGTCGAGCTGTTGCTTAATATACGAAAACGATTCTATAGCATCACATATACAAGAGTTAAAGACTGTAGCCATGTCTCATTTCGACACTTATTACCGACCATTATGAAATGATGTGATCATTTGTCTGCGCCATTAAAAACGGAATGATGTGGAATACATTAATTGATGTGATTTCCATCATACAATATATGTGACATGGGTGATCCTAAACATTGTATGCGTATACAAACAAAAGGTGTCTAGCGTCTGAGACGGTTGGTGCAAAATCCTCCCTCCCATTCTCTAATTTACCACGTCGAGAACAAAGTCTTGATAATGGGAGATAAAAAGTCGGGAATGTTTGATGTGAACTGGCAAAAAGTGTGGCCGGATCGTATGCCTGTGATATTACGTGATTTGGCACCAACGAATCCTTTTAATCCACGTAATTTATGGCCTGAAGAACAAGAAGACGAGACGCAATCAATAGTTCAATTCATTACAAAGGACAAGAAAAGCAGTGGCCTTGTTAAGGAAGACAAGATACTTCATACTGTGACAGCTGGTACTAAAGTGAAAAAAGCCGATTTAATTCGTATGCAATTGGCAAAAGATAAAGCTCAAAAACAAAGTAAAGTCGATGAAGAAAAGCTTGCAAATGTGAAAAAGTCCAAGAATCTATTGAATATGAAGATGATGACTCCTACAGGTCGTTTAAAACAATTATATGAGATTTTACGTGATTGTTGCAAGAAAAAAGAGTATACGGATGCAGTGGATACACTCTGGGAGATCCAACGGACAAAGCTCATGCCTGAACGCTCTATTGTGGGACCGGATGGACGGAAAAAACATGACAAACAAAAGAAAATGGATGACATGGAAGATACGAAGTTACTATTGGAGCTTAATGCTGTTCACAAGAAGTACCGGAAATACGTCAAGATTATTAATGACTATTTAAGTGGGAAAGACTTGATCGAGTGGCAACTTACAGAGATGTCGGACCGATTGCCACCTCTTAATATGCACCACATGAACAAGTTTATTCTTGATGATTGGCAGCGTACGGTGTTGTCCCACATTGACCAAAATAACTCAGTTATTGTGTGTGCACCAACAAGTTCCGGCAAGACGGTGCTATCGTCCTACGTGTCGGTAGTAGGAGGCAAAGTGCTATTCATTGTCCCTACTGATCCACTTGCATGGCAGGTGGCAGCGCTGTTCCAGGCAATGGTGAAAGGCTCCGTTGCTCTCATCACCGAGGGGACCGTATTCCTGCCTCCCGGATTTCGTGTTGCTGTCGGTACTCCTCGTGCTGTGGAGTCGACGCTCATTGACATTGGCTATGATTTCCAGTACGCCGTGTATGATGAAGTTCACGACTTGAACGGACCGGAGGGTGACGCGTTGGAACGTATCATTAAGGCCGTGACGTGCCCCTTCTTGGCATTGTCTGCTACGATCGGCAATGCGGAGATGCTTAAAAGCTGGTGGGAGTCGCACCTTGCGCGTGAAGTTCACCTGCTCGAGTACAAGGGCCGTTTTATTAATTTGCAGCGTATTATCTGGTACGAAGAGGAGGCCAAAGAGGAGAGTGCCAAGAAGAAACAAGAAATGGTGTATCTGCACCCATGCGCCGGTGTTACTCTGGACTACCTAATGACCATCGGTTTTGATGCTGGTGACCTGGCGTTCACTCCTCGCGATGCGTTCGCTTTATGGCAAGCAATGGAAAAGTTCTACTCGGCTGATTTGATTGAAGACGTGGACCCGCACAAGTTCTTTGAACTCGAGGATGAGATTAAAGCTGACACTGCAGCCCCCATCACATTGAACAAGAAGGACAAGAAGTCGAAGAAGGATAAGAAGTCGAAAAAAGATAAAAAGTCGAAGAATGATGACGACGATGAGGACTATGTTGTTGACCTTGGTAACCGCACTCACCGTATCACGTTAATGGAGTCTAAAAAGTACGAAGACAAGATCAAGAAGCGCTTGGAGGATCTCGCTTCGAAGGAGCCCAAGGCAACTCAGTCACTTCTTGATTCCTTTGCGCCTCCAGCAAGTCTGCAGGACATTACTGTGGCGCTTCACGACCCACGGGACATCAACCCTTCTAGTTCGGTGGACGTGTACGCCCTCGTGAACCAGCTCTGCGCCAAAAATCTTGTTCCTGCCATTGCGTTCCAGCTTGACTCGGTTCGATGTCGTCAGCTTTTCAATCAGCTCCTGGCGTCCATAGAGGCAGCTGAGACTGCAAAGTACCCGAATTTTCGTGAAAAGGTGCAAATTGAGTACGCCGAGTGGGAGAAGAACCAGGCGTCCATGAAGAAGCGTGAGGCGAAGGTGAAGGCGAAGGGCAAGGAAGAGGACGACCGCGAGTCACAGGCATTTGAGGAGAAGCCGCCTCCGGATATTTATGCCCCTCATCCCGATTTTGTGTTGGGCCCCGCTAGTTCCCGCCTTACTGCTACCGAGTTCAAGGAAATTAAGTGGCAGCTGCGTCGTGAACTGTCTGAAGACTCCGATGATGGACACGCGCTGGTGCGTTCGCTGCGGCGCGGTATTGCTATCTATAACCAAAACCTGCCCGCGGCGTACCTCCGAATTGTGCAAGCGCTTGCCCAGGCCGGTCGTCTAGCGGTCGTATTCTCCGATGACTCGCTTGCCTACGGTGTGAACATGCCGTTCCGAACGTGCTGCTTCTGTGAAGATACGGCGGACGATGTCTTGACGTCGCTGATGGTACAGCAAATGGCTGGCCGTGCTGGACGTCGAGGTCTAGATCGACAGGGTAACATTCTGTTCGCTGGTCTATCGTGGTCCCGTATTCAGTTTTTAATGCGTGGTTTACTGCCGGATGTCACGGGTCGTAAGTCGCTGTACCCGACGATTGCTTTGCAAAAGTTGCTTTCGAACAATGTCACAAGTGACATCATGCAGCGCATTGTTGCGCACCCACTAGATGAGTACATGGTCAGGGGGGCTACGCCTTCGTCGCCAAAGAAGCAGGAGTCGTACTTGACCAAGTCTGTAGAATGGATGACCCAATTCGGTGTGACCAAACCGGAGTATAGTCTCGCGGTCGATTTGTCCGTCGCCAAGCTGGTGTGGGAGTGCCGCGATGATCCGTCGGAAGGGCTGGGCATCTTTTGGATCTTGGAGGTTTTGCTGAAAGAGTTTCACCACAAACCCGGTGACAATATTTCGTTTCAGCTTGCCCTGTTTAGCATGCTGTTGCGTGTTGTTGGCCGCGAGAAGTTTCATCCGGAGTACGCTCATGGAGCGGAGCTCGCCCCTCTTCCTGGACAAGAGGAGGCTTGGGAGAAAGTGTCGGCGTTGCTTCAGACATACGAGGACAAGCTTAATGGGCTGGGAGAGAACGCACCGGAAGAACTGCGGATGCGGGTAGCATTAAGCGATCCGTTGGACGGATACGTCTTTCGCACCGTCGTGGAAAACTTGATTCCCCCGGGGCTTGGCACATCGCAGCTGAACCAGATTAAGAAACGCCTGCGTCATGTGGGCGATCGCCTGCGTTTGATGCACAATTTGCTCATGTACAGCGGACGTTACGGTGAACTGGAAGAGATTGTGCGAAAGTGTTTCCGCCGCATCAAGTGGATCCTCATCGATTCGGAAGTCTAAGGAGCCGCAACGAGGCAGCACATTGGAAAGAGTGGTCATGGTGCTGTGAGAAGACACGAATGTCGACAAAGTCGATCACGTTCCTGTGGGAAAACGAACCACCGTCAATCGTCTCATAGGCACAGCAAGAACCCAAACCAGTAAAAAGCGCTTTACAAGACGAGCACGAGGCAAGGAAGCAGCTACGAAATACACAGAAACAATTGTAGTAACCAGCGACGATAACGTGCCAAATGAAAAATAAAACATTTTTGTGGTATTACGACGTGCCATGAAGGAAGGTCGTTTGCTACTCTGTATAGTGTCCCGTAAGTGCTTTTTTGTGTACAACACATGACATTATGTTTGACTTGTATAAACTATTCCTCCACTTCCAGCATCATGCTACCAATGATCAAATTAGGTGGCCTTGTGGCTCGTACATTGACAAAACCCTTAGCACGTAAGATTAAATCTCGTTCCAAGGCTCATCCTTTATTAAATTTAATATGTTTTCATTTGGGTCAACAACAACATCATTTTACTATGAAACTTCATATGGGATTTCGAGATATCTCGACTTATACGATTAAACCGCTTCCTACGGATCAAGCAGTAGAACATGGAGCAGATTTAGTTGGCGAGATATTGATATTTTCTGTAGCTTTAAGTGTCGCATCACTTGAGTATTCACGCTCAGCTGCAAGTACACGCGCAAAAGAAATAAAGCAAAAAGAGCAGCAATTGCAAGAAGAACGAGAAATGGAGAAACGTTTCGAGTATCTCGAGAATCAAGTGATGTGGCTAGAGGACCGACTGGAGAAAGTGATAGATATTGTGGAGAAGGAAATGGGGGTGAGAGTTGAACTTGTTGTGGCGGAAGCTGATCGACAAAAGGACAAGGAGGCAGAAGCAGAGACTTTGAAACTTGCTCCAAGACGACAAGACGAGAATGTTTACGTGGGCCTGAAGATTGACGAAAAGAAGGTGACGAGGGAAACTTCTTCATACGTCATGAAGCTTTGGAAGAGTACGTACGATGCAGTAGCAGGACTCTTCAAGTAATTGTGGGGTAATAGTGCTGTTTCAGTGACTTTCACGTCTTAATGTGAAACTGTGCTACGTGAACATGTACAATATCGTCAAAGGGTCAAATTAGTGTAAGTCGCTGTGTTTTTTACAGTGTCATGCTGGTGAATGATAACCATTGCAGGGAATAGAAGATTTCATTCTGCGCAGAGCTTCTCGCTCGTCTGGATGGCCGCCGTTTTGAGCGTGGAAACCAAATTGCGCGCTCTTGCTCTGCTAGATCAACTCAGGCATCAAGTAGCGGTATTCGCTTAACATTACCGCTAGACTTGACGCAGACTGCAATTGGAAGGCAAAGCGAATGCACGCAATAGTGGTGGCATCGGACGAAAAGAGCAGGAATGTGTCGAGTCAGTTCGAACTTGTCATCATCCAGAGGTCGCAGAATATGGTGGCATGCCAACACTTTGCAGAGAAGACTGCGTCTGCCCCTTGTATTAGTTCCTTCAAAGTCATGACATGACAGCGTGCTCATAACGTCCAGTTTGAGTCAGTGGAAGAAGATCTGCTGGACTTTGGATGCCGAAATAGTATGTGAGCTTGGCCATACGCGTTTTTACTCCATAAAGAAGGTAAGTACATCTGCGGAGCAAAGTACATTTGCCTCGATCATTTTTTTTCCGTCCGCTCATTCGAGCTGTCTTGCTCATAATGCCCGCTTGACGTTGTTTGTTTCCTTCTCTATTGTCGAGGTAAAAGTCACTCTCAGCCTTACGGCTTGCTATCAACAGCGTCGAGCATTAATCGGAATAATTTACACAGATGCACATGACTGCCATGCCACCTCCTGCTGCATATAGGTTCACCCGATATGGGTCCACCACCTCCATCACATTGGAGGCATCAACGACTTCGTCCTCGGTGATCCAGTTGGCTCGTCTTTGGATTGAGCTCAATGAGCCGATGTAAACGTCGCTTGAAGACTCACATCCAGGATTTGTACTTGCCGGATTGCGTGCGACCAGACTAGAGATAGAGGCAGATGAGTCTACTTAACCTATAGTGTTTGCAGGATGTCTGGTAGATCCTAAGCCTGGTTAGCAACGCCAGTACATCGTTCGAGATCGGTGGTTGTACGGGGTTGTCACCTGCGGTGACGGCTCTCGGGTTTGTCTGGCTGTGGCATAGTGACATAGCATCAGACGGGTCCCTTGAATTCTCGTGTGTGTTCATCGGTACTCTCGTTTCGCGACTGCGCGATGTTGCCTCATACTGGTTGTCCAGAATACCTGCGCGCTGCCGACGATGGTCACGTCCGCTTGCTGGAACGTCACGCAGTTGCGTGTATCCACAAGCTGGTGATGCAAATGCTGCTCAGGATGTGCCAGATGCGTGTCCATACGGCGGTGCATACGGCCACCTCGTCTGGGTGGTGTCGCGCTAGCAGTGCCCGGACCGCCGTGGATATATCTGGCGCGCGTCTGCGTGCACTGTTTGCTTGATATAAAGCCTTATATCCGTCCAAGCTCCCAGCGTTCCCTGTCCAATGGCAGATGAGCTTCTGCCAGCAGGCTTGCGCGCACGGGCAATGTCCAGCAGATGTGTTCCAGTGTTTCGTTTACCCCTTGGCAGCATTGGAGCTTGCGGCAAGTGTTAACTTGCCCTCGGTCTGGATGGAAAAGATTCAGTTGCCGCACTGCTACTCGATATACCACCCACATTTAGTACGCGGTGAGCTCGTTCCTATGAGCCCAGAGAATTGGTTGGCGTCTGCTGTAAAGCTGCTGTCTGCCACACACTTCCCTCCGCTGAGTCCTGAAGCGTCTCCAGAGTTCGTGTCAGCACACTGTCCAAACCTGTGTACCGACGAAATGTTTGCTTCTTTAGGATCAATAGTACGTGCCTGTTCGCGATAGTGTCGGACACACACTACGGGAACCCGTGAATGCCCTGCTTCCTGGCTCTTTCGGAGCCGCTTGCAGTCGGCAGCCGTCCGCTAATCCTCGATGTTGTTTGCAGCAATGCTCCAATGAATTACATTGCTGTCTTGCTTCAGGGCGATGACGCACTGCTGACCTTGGTCCGAGTCCACCGAGATGCCACTGGCGCAGCCCGTCGCGGTGTATTTCCAGGTATTGTCCGGTGTCAATGGCGGGTTGTGACGTAGGCGTAGGTCCTTACGTACTTGAAGCTCTTGCCCCACATCTAAGCTCGGTGCGCTTAGCAAAATTGCCAGGCCCTATCTTCGCAGCTTGGGTTGTTGATACGTGGTAGCGCCTACCGTCGGGATGATGAAGGAGTAGGTTCGAACCCCTATCCGATGCAGGTGAAGATCTACTATAGTGCAGGGCTGAATCTTGGCATACTTCCTTGAGGTTAAAACATTTCCCTGCAGGTCCACAATCCAACGTGCGACCAGACTAACGACCCAAAATTTCCAACCGAATGTCTTTCCATTTCGACTGTACGACACTGTTTTCCATAGAAATTCTTACCACTGCGAGTAAAAGCAGCGCAGCCGATCGCATGAGTCGGTGTTTGAAGACCTTGCCGTGACATGGGCGGAATCAACGTCGCCACGAGAGCCGGCACGAGTGAACTGTCTAACGCAACAGACACCGTCATTTACTTCCTTGGAATGAGCTCGAGATCGGTCACTATCCACAATTGTAGCAATGCCAGTTCCAACGGAGCGTCGACGTCTTTATTTTTTTTGGCGCATCCACAGCACGGATGCCTCTAGTAATCACTAAGAGACACACATACATATAATACTAACTTCAGTATTTACAATACATGTAGCAGCAATGGATACGTGTAGTAACAACTCGCTGCCTGTAAAGAATAATTTACATTGTACAGGACGGATCCAGGCTCTCGACTTGATCAAGCTACGACAAGAAAATGGACCGATTCTGTACAGTAATCCCAAACATTTTGCTTACACATTAACTAAAAATAAGAAACAGCTGCCACGCCTTGGCAGCTGTTTATTTATTTAGACTTGAGAATTGTATTGGTGAAGCTAATGACCTGGTTTTGCTCTCCTTTGAGTCCAGAATCCATCACATCAAGCACAGAAACTGTCATAAAATGTGGGACTTGTACATCAGATTGGGATAGAAAAAGGAATCTCATCATTCAAGACTTGGGGGACCTCCTTATAGCCGGACCGTCGAGGCTGATCAGACAGGTCGAGCAGCTGAGAAGAACGTTGCTGGACAACGACATCGAGGCTTGGAATCGATGTTGGCGCTGCTATAACAACGAGCGCAGCGGGTACTAGACATCCCACTTATTGAACAATCCGACTTGACTGGGCGAATTAATGTACTGAGTAGTAGCGAGTCGCTTTTGTATCAGATCAACTCGCTCCGGCTTTCAATCGCGCACTCTTCGACAAAATGACTTCTTTCTAGGTCACAGATGAGCCACAGGACCAGCTCACACACTCACTTGGAAGTCCGTCTCAGTTCAAACTTTGCTTTGTAGGGCACAAGCAAATACGTAGAGCATAGACTATTCGTAAATTGGTTGGTTGGAAGCCACGGATCCAATGAGTTACTTGCATCGATATATTCCACCCGTCTACGTGGATCTCAACATGATGACCACGCCCTCTAAAGATCAAGAGACCTCAAATGCGCCCTGCTCATCTGCTAAATTCACGGCAGTCCAGTCGTCGGGTGATAGTGTCAAGCCGCGTCCAAGTCGCACCAATCCACTTTTCCTGGATCTGCTGGATTTCCCTCTCACAATGGCCGATGCCAACTCGGATGGGCTCAAGTGCAACTTTGATAGTGTCCTTGACATGGGTGACGGACATGACACTCCAGCAGGTGCGACGCACCAGATTTTCCCACTTCCAACCGGCCACGAGATAACACCGGACCAAGATTTCAACACGATGAAGCAGAGCCAGGATCCTGAGGTACTCAAAGAGGTCGAGACTTTTCCTGCTGCAGTATTCACAAACACGACCATCTCAGCCTCACGGGTAAGCTCCACCACCTCTGCTCCTTCAGAGAGCAACACTACGCCGTCTCATCGTGGTGGCCGCACGTCTCACTTCTCCGCCAAGCAGCGCCGTGAACGACACAATGCCAATGAGCGACGACGAACAAACGCTGCCAAGGACCGTGTCCGTGACATGCGTGACACGGTCACGGCGCTCGGACGTCAACGCGCTAAGCTGACTATACAGCGTGATGCCAAGGCTGCCGCAGATGAGATGCTCCCACACCGGAGACCGGTCGAGACTGTAGTACTTCGAGAGCGTGTTGAAGAGTACGGAATTCCTGGCAGTACTACGTACTTGGATCTTGTCAAGTCTGTAGACGAGCTCCGGAACGAGAAACAGTATCTTATAGAGAAACTGGACCAGCTGGACTCGCAGAACAGCGTTCTTCAGGCGGTGCAAACAGAGCTTTTGACCAATACCACAGCATCTCTGACGGAAGGTGGGGCCAAAAAGATCCTCAAGCGCAAGCGTGTGGAGGCCAACGAGGATATTGATTTCGTCTCGGTCAGAAAACGGATGGCCCTCGAGTCGTGCGAGATCAACACCCCTGCTGGTGGCTACTGCATTGAGACGGAGGCCGTTCCGTCATACCTCAAGGTCCTCTTCTCCAAGCCAATGACCAGCAATGCGGCGTTCAACTGGGTCAAAGACAGCTACAGTGACATCATGGCCCTGAAGTCCCAGCAGAAGCCTGCAGGAGTTGCCGCTCCGACGGTCCTGGGCTGGTGTGAAGATAAGCGAGAAGTGTCAAAGTCACCGGGATCAGACAATGAGCACTCTCTCGAGCTGATGCTGACTCAGGACTTCCCTAATGTCGTGTCGGGCGAACTCGTCTTCAATACGTGGAACCTTCTCACTATACTGGAAGCCTTCCGAAAGCTCTTCCCGTTGACCAAGGACTTGGCCATTTTGCAGACCATCAACGACGACTGTGTGATCGTCCGTGTTGGTATTGCACCGTTTTGCGACGCTCCTGTGGTGCACAGCATCATGGTGCTTGCTCGTGGCCAGATTGACGGTGGGTACTTAGTAAGTATGCGATCCGTGCCGTTGTCAGCGGGCCAAAAAGCATTTGCTGCTGATGAGGCGAGTTATTTGCCAGTTCTGGTGTGGTTCATGCTGCTGGACAAGTATGACGAGTTCGCCCAGCCCGTGTGCGAGGTAATCGTGGGGGCATCCACACAACACAAATCGGAACGGGTCCTGCACCGACTTTCCACCGAGTTCATTGCAGGGTTGGTGCGCTGGCAAGACGCTGTCAGCCAGAAGAAGCAATGGTTTCTCTGAAGTAGTGCGTTTGAACATATTTAACAGATAGGAAGTAGCGGGTCCAACCGCGTAATTGTAGTTAGGTAAGTGTTCAAAAAAAGTGAAAGTGCAAGAAGTGCCGGCAACGGGTAAAGACACAACTATTATCAAATAACATCACGTCAAGTTTGACATCAAACAACTTTGACTTTAGAGAGAGGGGCAGACGATTTTTCGTATTTTTGTGTCGGGTTCACCGGCACTCTCGCTACGACTCGGAGTTGTCTTATGCTGGTTTCATGTAGTAGCTATACACCTGACGCATGTGAGCTGTCACAGAAATAGTATATCATGTAAACTGATACGGTTTACAGTTAGGATGTGCATTTACCTGCTCGGTCAAAGTGCGTAGTTCGAACCTCACCACCGGAGTAGTCCCCGAAATCCACTCCCTCGACTTTCCATGCGCAAAGCCATCTCAAGTATCTCAATAGACCACCAGCCTGTGCTCGCGAGCGCTGTGCCTTCGATTTCGCCACCAAAGGTTTGCTTACAGTCGTCAAGTCCTTCACCCGCATACTCATAGAAGCTCCACACGAAGACATCAAGCCAGAAATTCTCTTTTTGAGGCTCTATCTTCCGGCGTCCACGGCGCACTGGTGCTGTGCAGTCGCCGTCGTGCTGGAGGTAGGTCTTCGGATCCAAGCTGCGTAGAATCACCATGCACCCGTCTGGTCCGAGGTCAACTCGCATGGCCAAGATGAACGCACGGATCCGAACGTCAGTGTCTTCACGCTCTAGCGTATAGTAGTAAACAACCGCGTCCTCATTTAGTCGCTGCACGACATGAAAGTGCACTTTTGCGTCACGCGGACGCATGATCACAATTGGTTCTGGTAACGACAGGATGTCCCAGATATCTCGAGCCATCATGTCCATTGCCCGGCCGTGAAAAGTCTTTTCCAGTGAAAACATGAGTTTGTTCTGACGCAAAACGTGTCGATCTCGCCAGCCCAACACACTCGTTCCTGTCGAAAAACACGTGTCACTCTCTCGAAACGCCTTAATCTCTCGGTATGATGTCCGCGCAATCTCTGCACACTGGTCTTGTGTAAGCGGATTCACTTTAAGCACAGGATTTCTCCGTTTATGTTCTTGCTCTTGTTCAGCCATCATCAAAGCCTTCTTCTGAGCTGTAATCAGTTGCTTGACCTGTCTCTCCATCTCCACATTAATAGAATGAAGATGTTTCAAATCCTCGTTCTCTTTGACCAACGCGCTTTTCGTTTGTGTCAACTGCACGTACGCGTGATGGATGGCATGGCTGGAGTCAGGAGTACTAGCCTCTGACGTCGGCTTCGCGTCTCGTTCGTGGCAAATAGCTAGCAAACGTTTATATTCTTCCTCCAAGACGTTTACGTTGCATTGAAGATCGTTAATCACGTTCTATAGACGACAAAAAACACATGAGAACAAGCCGATAACACAATTCTTTCACAATTGGTTCCTATTTACCCGCTTTTTATAGTATAAACGCTTGGCTCGAAGACGGCTTTTCGTTCGTTGGTCAGTAGTCTCTATCATCTCCATTAGATCACTATCGGTTAAAGTATCTGACAAATTGGGGAATTCCATGTGGCAAATGTCGTAATTTGATATTTGAATGCATTCTCTTTTGAAAATCTCGTACGAATGGATGAAAAGGGTTGCCCACCAATTAGACTTGTCACATGTAGCAGTTCTCATGATTACGCCAAGCCTTATTGTATTAAATGTACTACTTTGTAAGTATGAAAGGGTAATACTCATATTACAAGTATTAAATGAAAAAAGTGCTACTATTTGTATGTATTTATGGAATAAATTAGCGCGTACCCATCGTAACGCATACCTAAGGCACATTGAACGTCTATCTTCATATTGCACACACTCATTGTCCATCGTCGTTTTTGACTACCACCGTTACATTAAACTATCAACTGCAGACCCATTACACGACTCTCCCACCGCAAGTGCAAACACATGATCTCTATCGCCATAAAGTCAATATCCGCTCGCGAAGGATACGACAATTGGCCACAAGAAGTGACCACAAATCCGCCGTCTTCTTTGCACTCGTACCGCTGCCACGCCGTGCAGTTCATCTGGTGTATGTTCTTGGACGTGGTAGTCAGAGACACATCAAGGGAGCGCATGCCCAAAAGGAACCCGTTCGGTATCTCCACTCGGAACAATACAGCAACTACGCGGTCCACACGCGTTGCGTCGTAGTTAGCAATATCATACATGATGATAGCCTCCTTACCCACTTTCTTTACGAGCTTTGCCTTGATGGAGCCATAGTAGATGCTTGAGAAGTTCTCGGAGCTGCTCACGCTGGTCCACGACTTTTGCATCACCTCATGCATGTTCACCTCCTTCGAGTACTCCTTTGATAGACTATAGATGAACATGCCATCCGGGGACACTACGCTCTTGTACTTCCAACCGTTCTCGCTCTGATGATCTCGGAGTACTTCACCGTCCATGGAGTAGTTCAACGCCAGGTTCATACCCGCTGTCACAGCTGTAGTGCATGTGGACCCGTCGATAGACTGACTCAGTTGCTCCAGCTCTGCACGACCGTCGCTGCTTTCCTTCAGAAGCAGCTCACAGCGCTGCGCACAACTTGTTGTGTCCGTCTTGAGTCGGGCATTCTCTATGGAGAGGCCCTGGACGACGCGCTGCAGCCTCTCAATCGCGAGCACAAGCTTGGCCTTGTTTACGCTCGAGTCATCTGCATCTGACATGTTCATGCAGCGGGAGTAATAGATGCGATTGAGCGCGTTCATCTTTGTACGTAGCTTGGCCAGCACGTGGTCGACCGGTCGACCGTCGCTTGGGCTGATTACAGCTGACACTACCGGTACTAGTGAAACAGGTTCTTGCTCTATGGGGTTGGGCACCATGGGGACATTCTTGAACGGGTCGATGGCCTCAAGGAAAAACGCAGTCATGGCGACCTTCTCGTCCACCATGAATTGCTGCAGAAAGGCGTCATCGGCACCGATGGGGGACAACAGCATGCTCGTGGCGTCGGCGCCCTGCTCCACCGATATGGCGAGCAGGTCCTCGGCGACCGGCTGCTTGCTGTCGTAGATGGAGATATCTTGGACCTGAATGGCATTGTCGTCCGAGAGGAACATTTCTTGGATCATGCTGATCTCCTCGGTCGTCCAGGAAGCGGCGGGCGGTGCTGCCCATAGTGACGGTGTCTGGGAAGAACGGGGACTTGTGACGGAAAGCATTTCTACAAAGCTCATTAATCTCTTTTCTCTATGGGTTTAGACGGGCGTTAGCTGGAAAGGGGTCGACGCTCGAGCTTTACACAGCAAAAGCTTATCTGCTCAACGTAGGAACCACGAAAAATATGTGCAGGAGCTCTTAGTTGACTCCACCATCGCCATCGCTGCAGACGATGCTTTTGCATCCGATGAGTGTGCGACTCCGGATCTCTTCAAGTTGCTGCTCTCAGACGAGCAGTGCTCGGAGCTCATACAGACAAGCGCGGGCCAAAGACGTGAGGCGTCAACAAAGTGGGCACGCGAAGGTCCTCTGCAATCAGAAGTGTTCTTCATGGGCGGGGCGACATAAACTCTCGAGTTACTCACGCGGCTTTCACAATGACCTTAACAGCGTGTAGAGATCGGCATTTAGACGAGGAGTGTCCACTTTACTGACGTGGAGCGTTCTCGACGATTGGAGCCGTGCGTTGCATCGTCGGCAACTCGTCGACATAGAGCGCGCTGGCGCTCACGGAGCCATCGGGAGAGCACTGTCGAGTCTTTCCACACAACGCCAGAGCTCGCTTAAACACTACGGATTGCTGACATCTTGAACAGAACCGCTCCGTCGAGTCTTGATTGTAAGCCGAAGCTGTGCAAATAACAAGTTCCGAATGTCTCCAGCACACTACCAATGAGCTTCAATTGAGCGTCGTGTCCTCGATCATACGCGCCACATTCGTTAGATTGTCCAGCCAAAAAGGGCCCGCTAAGCTTGCCACAAGCAGAGCTCCACGGCACCACATTTGCGTTGCTTGAGATACGGACATTGTAGCCATTGGATTGCATACAGCCGATACTCCGAAGACAAAAGCTGTCGGCTACTTTACCCTGAGCGCGGCACCGCCAATCCTGAGGATTTAAAGCAGGATTGGCGGCGCCGCGCTCGCAACCTCGCGTTTTGTCAGCTAAAGGGGTTCATGTTTTTCTCTCTGGACGCGGCTTAGCATGTTCGAGGCTGTGCAAATGTTGAATCAAAACATGTTTGCATTAGCTACTGCATCTACACTTTGCTGGACGTGAAGTCACTACTGCAACTTGTAGTCAATGGATTGCAAGATCACCTCAAGGACATAACGACAACTGCTGCCAATGTTGCGTTCAAGAAATTCGCACAAATCATTTTCGAGCCACAATGGACTCGCTGCGTATGGTGATTGCAGAGGCGGTCAGGTAGTGGCACCAGATGCTTTGCCACGTTTTACTAGCAGAAACTGTGGGATGAAGGTGACTGGCGTCAGCACTAGGGTCTAGCCATGAAGACTCCGCCGCCATAAATGGACTGTGTAAACACCCAAGTCGACTTGTCTTTCCACTCGTTGCTTGACCAGCAAAATTGGTTGGGAAAGCACGCATTTTAAAGCTGTGCGCATTTTGTCACAAGCAGCACCGCCTTTGTACGGTGTCGACCACCCATGGGGCTATTATTGTTCTAAAAACGACGATTTGACTCCGGTGCAGACTGGTACGCAACTGCATAGCATTACAGAAAAACAAGTGATACCCTTGGAACCGGAGGACCCGACTTGGACTGCATTCATGCTCAGCAAGCATTCAGACACGAGCATTTCGACGCGTTTTGCCAGAAATGAACTATCTAGAGGTTGCAAAAAACAGCTATAGATATGAGGTATGATCATATTTGTCGTCAAGGTATCTTCAAACAGAGGATAGTAGAGTTTTAACGAACCAGACAATCTCGGTGTTGAAAAAGCCTTTGTCAAGCGAAGCCTAATTGCAACAGTTTCCACAGCGAGTTGCTGCGTTGACTTGGGCATTTAGGCCTATCTTTCATACTACATATCTTGAAAGCTCAGTTCATTTCTTTCTGGAGGATATCACTCCGAAGAGGAATGCGAAACCTTCAGTAACGAATATTGAGCTAAGAATTTGATTGTTTATAAATCCAAATTAGAACAGATCTAGAAACTGGTCCATGTATGATTACGTAGATAATGGTCTTAAATGGAGGCGTTATTTATTTAGAAGTTCCTGTGCGACGTTAGCAAAGTCTGTTTTCTAACAGACAAGTCATAATCCGAACCTGTCGTTGTCAAGCACCAGCACCATGCACCAGATGAGAAAGTCCAAAAAAATTCATAAAAAACCGTGACGTTTTAGTTATTTTTTCGTAATTTCAGTGAGATGTTCCGTTCTAACATTGCAAATAATCAGATTCTAGTAATTCTGGGGTGGTTGATGGTTACTAAAAAGGTGATTGATACATAACGCCTCCTTTTATTATTTTCATCCAATCGTTACCCTCGCATTTCCATCATGCGCCTCAAGGAACGTGATCTCCTCCTTCTACTTCTAACGCTTGTAGCGCTCAGGAGCGTCTACAGCATCGCAACCTCTGACGCCCCATCCGACAATTCGAAGCTCAGAGAAGAGGTTGATCTTTCTTCTACCGACTCGTTGGCTTCTCAAGACACTGATTCAACGCAGAAAGAGACATTAACAGAAGACGTCCAGATCGCCACAGATACCGACGTTTCTTCCAATCCACAGCGTATTCCAGAGACAGATGAGCCAATAGCAGACGCTCAACTTGCAGATGAAGATGTTGATCCACTTTTAGATGTTCCCAGTGGTCTTTTTGAAGTGGTAGACGCTGATAGTGTAGACACTCATAAGCGTCAGAATTATGCCTCATTGGATGCTGGAGCTACAATTCTTGATGCAGCACCTGATACTAAAAGTCCTACAAACCTTTTAGTACCTGATAAAGATCGTTATATGCTCACACCATGCTCTAATTCCAGAAAATGGGTCGTCATTAGTCTTTCGGAGGATGTGAGGAAACAACAACAAAATCAATGAACGATGATGACGATGATGATGATGATGATGACTGATGCTCTCTTTTTCTTCTTCTTGTTTTTCTTGTAGGTACATGCAGATGCTATTGCAGTTGCCAACTATGAAAAGTTTTCGTCAACTGTTAAAGACTTTATCGTCCTGGGTAGCATCAACTATCCGACCGATACGTGGCTCGTGCTCGGCAACTTTACGGCTACACATACAAATGGAGAACAGATTTTTCAGCTGGACGCACAACAGCATGTGCGGTATATAAAGTTTCGCTTTCTATCTCACTATGGATCCGAGTATTACTGCACACTGAGTCAACTACGGTGCGCGCTTACTATGCTTTGCAAAGTCTGGAGTACTTGTTATCTTATTGCTGTTGCTGTAGTGTATTTGGTCGAACGTTTACGCAAGTGATTTCTCAGCTGGAAAAAAGCATTGACGCAGAAGTAGAAGCCCTGGATGCGAAGGCGGCAATCCCAACACCTCTGCCATCTCCTTTGCCTAATAGCGCCGAGGTCTCCGTGTCTCACATCCCAGACCCGACGGAGCTCACGAATCAGTGCTTGATGGAGAAAAATAACACAGTCGCGGCTGTTTTTTATGATAAAGCACAGCAGATTGAGCACTATCGTGATCATGGAATGTGTTGTCTAGTCGACTACACTCCGGAGCAGATTGGAGCAGAAGCTGCCGCTAATAACGCCATCGAGCATGTGCCAACCTCAAGCCTCGACCTCGTTGAGACTGACGGAGTTGATGGCGCAGTCCCGGTTGCTACACCTGTACCCGACAAAAATGCGTCGAATGTTTCTGTGGTTGGCGGCTCTAGTTTCAATACAACTGCATCAAGTAGTGGAGCAGTATCAGCTTCGCTAGTGCCCACTGCTCATGGCACTGCTGTATCGTCTACACAAGGCCTCGGTCCACTAGAAAGTATTTTCGTCCGTATCACCAAGAAGAGTAAGGGTCTGCTGTACACTAGCTCGTTCTGAGTTTAAAGTGCCTGATCATTTATTCATGAACCCTTTTAAAATGTCTTCAGTCCAAGCCTTGGAAGCAAACCAGAGTGTCATGGGAAGGCAACTCGAGGAATTGCACACGCATCAGTCGGCAGCTATAGAGATGCTACAGGTACAGTCTATGTTTATGAAAATACTTGTTTTGGACAAGCTTGCTGATGCGATGTTCGCTGGTGCTATGTCTGTACATTTGTAGTCAAATCAAGAGTCGCTGAAGGAGATTCGCACCATGATCGTGGACTTGGTAGCTATGGCATTTCTTTGCATGTGTGGTGCATGGGTATTTACTGGTTTTGTAATTCTGTGCAGAAGGACAACGTAACAAAAGAGCTATCGGCATACGAACAAACATTGATGAACTATGGTCGGCTACTTGATGATGTTCGGCGAGAGAACATTGCTCTTTGGGTATGTCCACAAATTCTCATCAGTGAGGCTTTAGCAGCTGTAAAAAGCGCGTATACTGACGGGGTCATTGTGTTGCGTGTCCAACAGAATGAGATGCTTATCGTGCGCGAGGTCATCACAACCATGAAAGCAGGCATTCTTTGTGCCATCATCCTGTCTGGATGCATCATTTTATTTTACCTACTTCGTCTCCTGTTTCGCTGTGTATCGAAGTGCAAGGAGCGCGCTGATCTACGGGAGTGGTTCTGGCGCATGGAACATCAAGAAAGTAGCGGAGGTGATACAGGCACGAATAATGGGGCTTTGCGCGTGAACCGAAGAGCACAATTCGGTTCGTCCTGGGATGACTCAGCAATCGAGCGAAAAACTCTTGTTAGCGACATAATTGGCGACGGTCCACAGAAATTCCGTCGCCGAACGAAGAGGTCAAGCCAGCCGTCGAGTTCATTAAAGCGCTGTAGGAAATGAAATGAAGGCATCAGTTCAATAAAGCTTGATACATGTTTTTGACATGACGTGGACGACAGCCGTTTTCCGTGAACCATTCCAAGACCGCTCATCCAACAAGAAATCCGTGATCCGTCGAGGGTCCGGCTCATCGGTTTCTAGCAGCAGCTCAGGTAGATTGTTGCAATAGCATACTGCTTCGCCTTCCACTGCGCAGCACGTCTCGATACAATGTTTACACCAATTTGTGTGCACGTTGTTAATGGTCTAGAAAGCACCTTGTGCCCCGTCGTCGTATCAGCACACCAGCATCAAACAGCTCTGCTTTCTGACTAGAAAAGCTATAATTGTAACGAGCTAATAGTTACACAAGTCCGTTAAGTATATGATTCTTAACGGGGAGGTCTAAAAGGATACGTGGTACCTTAGACCTGAGGCACATCAGTGTGACCCACCCTCGTGAATGTGATATCCATGACCAGAAGCTGTATCAGCAAGGTCAAGTCTACTTTCTTACGTGACCAGGCTCCTGACGCGGAAAAGTGCCTCGTAATGGGCGATTTGCTGACGGGGCCAGCACGAAATTGGTTAGCCAGCTAGGCCGATCGACTCGCCATAATTGGAAATCTCTATCGGAAAGTTTCATGATTCAGTATGAAGGATACGGCGTATCCGTCGGAAGACAATATTACCACGCAAGGAAGTAGCCGAATGAGACTCCATTGGAATATCTTTATCGATTAAATGTGGCGGCGATACGAGCAAAGATCTCGATCCGAGAAGGAACACCTGCCACAAGACGAGAACATGTGGAACACTTTATCGAGACATTAGATGATCGTGATTTGGCAAAGCAGTTGACTCTATTAAGGTTGGACGATGCTGACGACATGGAGGAAACTCGACGTGCCTATCAACGCATGGAGAGTCGTCAAGGCAAAGCATCGATGGGATCGAGTAAATTTCGCCAGCGATCAGCTCCTGTGCCCGATCAAGCATCATCAAAACCGACTCGTGCAGTGAGAGCGATCCATATTGGAAAGAGTAACAGTGGATCAGGGTCGGAATCAAGTGAATCAGACGCGGAAGTTGAACTACATCGTATGTTTGTAGCGGCAACACCGGATCAGGCGGAGAAGCCAAGAGAATACCGCGATCGACAGAATGTGACCGATCAAGGTAAAAGTCATGATCGTGTTGATCCACCAAGATCCTGTACCCATTGCGGATCGAGGAAACATGACGATCGCGGATGTTGGAAATGATTGACTTGCCAGAAGTGTGGGCGCAAAGGACATCCGTCAGACAAATGTTTTTCGTGTGTACGGCCTGTGGGGGGATGCACGAACGGGGGAACTGCCCGATGGAAGTATTCTACAATCTGATCCGTCAGTGGTATGTGCCGACCAAGCATGCTGGGATGCTCCCGCCGAAAGTGGAAGAGATGTTAAACTAGGACGCTCGACAGGTTGGAATATGGTACGAGCCGAGCGTTCTAGGCTCTGCATTTATGCATACGTTGAAGACAGAAGGACAGATCAAGATGGTAATTGTAATGGGGCACCCTACGACTATACTGTTTACAGTATAGTCTACTTTCACTGATTACAGTGAAAGCAGGTGCCTCAGAACCTCACGTATACGTGAGCAGAGGAAGCTTATCAGCTAAACAAACGCTTAGTTGAGAGGGAAAAGAAAACTGTATTTAATATAGTTAACTATCTAATAAAACTAATCTGTAATAACCTATCTTAACTATATTAAACTACAACTATGTATGTGACAGCTTGCCCTCCACTCATTGCGCGCGTCCATCGGTCAATGGTCAGCGCGTTGGTTGATATGATGGCCCATATCAACCAATGAGAGGGCATCTCCAACTTCAAGGAGATCTAGGAACAATATTATAAGAAAAGGTAATATTGTCAAAAATATTATTAGTTATAATAATATTTTTATTGACACTTCATATAAGTGTCAATATTATGTAACGGGCTCACCCCGTTACAGTAATACACGGATCGAGCCGATCATCAATACATGTGATTTGGATTCTATGCATTCAATAGCAAGTTTGAGGAAAGTTGATGAATTTGCTCGATCGCCTACTAAGATGGAGCTCGACCTAGCGCCAGGCGAATCACGGGGGTATTGGAAATATCATACCCCAGGGAAGTGGTTCAAGCAGGCCAAGGCAGTGGGCAAGATCAATAATGAGAAGGCTACTATGCTATTCGATTCTGGAGCCGAAGTCTCGATAGTCGACACCACCTTTGCTCGTAAGGTAGGATGTGTCATTGACGAGAGCCAAAAGCAAGAATGTATTGGAATTGGTGAGAACACGTATATGACGGAAGGACGTACCAAGATCAAGATCACATTGAACGGATCACTAGTATATTATTTCGATATCTGGGTGGGTGATCAAGTTGGACAAGAAGCGATCTTGGGTATGGATTTTATGGTCCCAGCTGGATACGCTTGGATTTGGCAGATGGAACTCTTTGTTTACCAGATGAAGTCAGAATTCACTTGGCTGGCGAAGACCGCCGTATCGATCGAATATGCAGCCGATCACGATCAACGATCAGCATGTGGTGATTTCAGTAGGCGGATCAACCGAAATAAAGATTGGTAATGGTGCCCCGAAAGCTAAGCTTTGGGTAAGGAGAGATCTAAAGTGGATACCGACTGTGACTACCGGACTGGGACGAACTAAAATATGCAGCTGACCAATTTAGTGGATCGAGAAGTAATTGTAAATCACGGATCTTCGTTAGGTTGGTGTATGGCTAAAGATATGATAACCCGATCACCTGGATATGTTTCGGTTAGATCGCGCCGGTATAATGAGTGACAGACTCTCCCCTATGAAGCAACCACAGATCGGAAGGAAGAGCTCCCGAAGGAGCAGACAGGACCGTTGGTTGATCACCCGTCGTATCCTACACCAGCTAGGATATTAACCCGCCCAAGAAAAGAAGAGATCGAGAAGATCACGAACGCTGACGAGATCGCGCCACAAACTTGCGAAGCAACGATCTACGACGGTGAAACTCAAGGTCAAATCGATGACCAAGATTACTAGGATAGGGAAGATTATCATTCAGCAGAAATGCCTTTTGTGATCAATACGGTCATAGTCGAGAACAATGCGATCCCCGAAATTGAAGGAAATGATACGGAGCAAGATCGATTGGGTGATGTGATCGAGGACCTAAAGACGATTGCGATGAACAAGAAAGATCAAGAAATATCGGATCAAGAACAGAAAACGTCGGATCAAGAAGGCAACAAATCCACCACAGTTGTGATCGATGAAATACTAACAGAAGATGCATCGCCAAAAGGTTCGGTATATATTCACGAAAGCGGTGATATGCTCGCTGAAGATGTGGATCAACATATGGCGATTTTACCAGAAATTGTTACGCCTACAGTGGAGGTTGCTATCGAGGATATTCAAGTTGGCGACCCTGGAATACCATTAACAGAAGATCACGAAAAGTTACGACAATTGATCTGGAAGAACCGCCACTTGCTAATCGGGAAAGGCAATGCCCTACCTCCCGCAGCACGTGAAGCACTTTGTAACATTGATGTTGGAGGAGCTAACCCGATCGCGCAAAGAGTACGGCCAGTGGCGCCCAAGTTTCGAGAAAAATTAGCAGATCTGATCAAGGCGTTATTATCTGCCAAGATCATTCGACCATCGATAGCACTATGGGCTTTATTGAGGGTAATCGGTTTAGTGACGGTTCGTAACCGTGAACCTGTCTACTGAAACCGGTCCGATGCTACTCGCGTATGATTGAAGGATAAGAATGAATGGACGGTAGGAAATGATTAGACGAGTAAGTTGATAGGAAGACATGATTTATCTTGTCGAGAGTGGACTTAGAGCCAGATTCTTCAGGGAGCTTGTCGTCTCTGGCCTTTTCCTTTTTGTTTCAGGGGTATTAACCACCTGACCTTTCCTTTGCTCCCAGACCGTGAGGTGAGGGAGACCGCTTCCGATAGCGGGTATGTGGGGTTTTGCTACTCGAGCGAGCTCACAGGCCAAATATATCCTGGAGCTCTATTCGCACTTGAACTTCGCTACACAACTGTCTTCGACGGGGGGGGGGCAAAATATATCCCTTTCCGAAACAGGTGGTAGCTTAAGGCAAGTTCTTGTTGGGTGACGGAGTCGTGCCACGTAGATTTCAGCTCGCACTTGAGTCTAACCACACGCCTGTGGGCAAATATATCTCTTTCCCGGAACAGGCGTGTGGCCAGACTCGAGTTCCTTTACAGCGCGACGAAGACTTGCCAAGTAGATAGCAAATTGAGTAGTATTTAATATAGTCCTATCCTTATAACTCATTTACTCTATCCTTCCCTGAAGCTCTGATTCCATGCGTCGACTGGTCTGATCCTTGTGTTAACTGGTCAGGAGTGGCTGACCCGAGGGGGCGAGGTCGACCGACGAGGGACCCAGGCCTACCAACGAGGGACCGGGTCCAACAATGAGGGACCGGGCCTTTCAAAGGGGGTCATGGTCGACTCCCTTCGGTACCGGTTAAAGGGTACCCTGGTAATGACCTCTCCTTTGTTTGTCTTTCACATTCTCAGCCAACGGTCGCTCCACTCCGAGGTTCCCTTTATCTCCGGTCCCTTCTCTCTGGTGCGTGGTCCCTTCTCCTTGGTCCACGGCCCCTTGTCCCCTTGAATCCAACTGGCCCCTGGGTTCTTCACAATGTAGGAAAGCACTTCACGACAGCGCAGCTCATCGAATACGACATCAGGATGGTGTCGTATGCCATGTCAAATTTGCGTGGCAAAGCGTCAGAGCGGGCTTACTCTGCGCTTATGGCAAGCGCTGATGCGTTTCCATCATGGGCGATCTTCAAGTCAAAGATTCGCGCCATGTACCAGCCGCCTAACAATGAAGTATTACTTCAGGCGCGCTTCTTAAGAGAACGATAGGCGAAAAGATATCTGCAAGAGTATGTGCAGGAGATGCGTTCGCTGTCTGCGTC